AGTGTCCAGTTCTAGGCAAAGTGCTTCATGTTGGTTCACCTACTGTAATGCAAGGCTTCATAGTTAGCTACCACAGTGATCGATTAATCCGTCCTGATTTCCATTTTACCGAAGGTCTTGCACACTAATACCTTTGATTTTATAGTCCTTTTCTAAGTAATGCACCCCCCGCCCCGTTTTGAGTATGAATAATGGGAAGATTAGAAAAATGTAATAATAAATCAATTAATCAATTGAAGATCTCTATTCCACACGCCTCCGACCCTTTCAATAAAAATCGCTAATAATCGTCAATAATTCCTTACTGGATGCATTTTATTCTTTCCAAAGTTAGCTCACTGATCTACCTCAATCAAGGTTGGTTATCTACTAAAATATACCTCCAAACTTAAGTCCTGCAGTTGAATGGGCAGGCCTTGACTATTCAGCCGCTTTTCCACCCTTCTAACTCCGGCAACTTTTTTTTCTAGTAATCAACAATACTGGAATGGGCCAGCCCAAACTACCAGCTTAATGTCGCATGCAGCGCAACGACACAGCCATATTTTATTCAACGAATAAAGTTCTCTCCACATATCTCACGTATTTTCATTATTTAGATTCAATTAAGGAGAGTTGCTCTACCAGAAAATGTAAATTTAGTATGCACATTCAACTGTCCTCAAAATAACCTCCCCCCATATGACCAAATTAATCCAGTATTAAAATTAAATGTTCACCAATTTCAATCCATAGCACCAAATGAAAACAACAAAACCAATTGAGATGTTAAATTTTAATCAAATGTTGTATTCATCATGGCAAAATTGCGTTTGCATCGCATATGACCCAAGTAAATAAGTAATAATTACAACCCAAAGTCAGACACGCTTCACTGTGCCTTGACACGTAGATCCTTGCCAACATCTTCGCGAGAAGCCTTTGCGGTGAGAGCAAAGACCTCTCGCATAGCGCTATGAGTCTTTTCAATCAATTCGTCCACATGAGACGCATCCATTCCTTTTGTTTCAATTGGAGGCAGAAGATAGATCCCATAGGGAACTGAAAGGGTAGAACAGATTTAAAAAAAGTTATGGACAAGAGAAGATGAACTAGTGGCGGTGTTCGATTAGCACTTACTACTACAAGCGATTATTTTCACATTATAAAGCAACTAACCACAGATTCTGGGATGGCTAAACATCTAACAACCCCATGACGCTGAACTGCCAACCACAATCTACCCCAAAATGGATGGGAAAGCAATTGAATATACCTCCCCCCCCCCAATAGCGTAGTCAGGTTATTTTCAAAATCATTAATCTGTGTACTCTGCGGATATACTTATGGGATGGCGACTTGAAAGTGTACTTGCCGTGGAATTTTAACGGATAACTGGCGTCCATTGAAGCTAGCAAAGGTGTATAATGCAATGGAAGGAATTAAATGTAGACATTGGGAGAGTATTTGCCAATAAAAGTCACATAAACAAAACCTTGTGAAATTGATGCCTTCACTAAGTTATCTGATATTAATAACAGAAGCCCGAAAATCTACCCCAAGGATCATGTGAACCACATCAAGGTGTACCTTATATATATAACCATAAAATGCAAATTGAGTAAAGCAAATGAAGATATTCAACTTTTCAAGAGTCAACCAAAGGACCGTATATAAGAGGCGAGTTAATTTGGCAGTAGACCTTAAACTGTTTAGCTAACACTACTACGTAACCTCAGGTGCGCACTTGAGTTCACTATTTAATTTGACGTAATGTGGCAGTTCAAAACACATTGGAAAACGTTTGACAACACTGAAGAAAAAAAACATAACATAATTGAATTCATAATCCAAAGCCACCTCAACATCAGCATTTTGGCACATAATAAATCTCTCCCAAACCTCCAGTCATGCGAAAGGCCCCGTACTTATTGCGCTTAAAAGGACGACCAACACATACACGCATAAACAGGAGGTTCGAGCTGTTTGCTCCGCGTAGAAAAAAAAATATAAACAAACCAAAAGGTGAAAACATCGACAGCAAAGGGATCACGTTGATCTCAACACTTTGGTGGTAGTAATTTTACGCCAGTTTCGGTCAGAAGGTAATGCAATGGATAAATAAATGGGGAAATCAATGAATAACACAAAGCATTTAACGCACAAATGTTGGGGAGGGTGGGGGGGGGGAGAGCAGAAGTGGAGTGCTCTTAACAGTCATTCGTGGGACGATATTGAGTGACAGGCCACAGGTGCTTCATTTAGACAGATGAATGGTATTACAAAACATTTCGTATAACCTAGAGCCAGTTAGACATCATAGATGGAAGAAAAAAACCAGATATGAATATAAAATTGAGACCCCACTAAATGTGCCTGACTGTATGAAAACAACCACTTAATTCCAAGTTCTTAGCGTATTAATGAGAACTGATAGACATTGATTCCATTTCCCCTAAAATACATTGCTAATTGTTTGCTAACCAGATCCAACAAAACAGACTCATTCAATTTCCATTTCGACTTACATTGAACCAGGAGTAAAGCAGTCACAGTTGTGAGCTTTAAGTCAACATAGTTTTCAACAAGCACTTTACTCGCACAACCCAATCAGCACCATGGACCTGTGATGGAATGCAGATGAATATAGAACAAAGAAAGTCACACATTCAGCATCTAGGTAAACAAACTATAGCCAACGGAAAAGCCCTATCTTTGGCAGGTTCACGTGAAACACTGGAATGTGTATGACAACAGATTAAAACCACAAATTAAGTAATAAAACGGAAGATTTGAGCGTGATCTTCAAGCGAACTTTCACACGAGACAAAGCGTCAAAAGAGAGATACGACTTTTCAGTCTAATACTTAACCAGAAAATTTTCCAGTTGCAATCTAACCTCAGACTTGACTAGTGCCATTTATCATCTTCTTTATCTATGTTCATCGACCTAGAGAAGTCTGGCTTGGTGGAAGTGCACTTAGGTAAACCAAAGACAGACTGAAAAGAGAGAACCCTGACGGCAATGATGACGAAGAATATGTAAAATATTACTGAGTTGTTTAAAATTGTAGCAAACGCTAACTATATGATTAAAGAGAGGATATTTATTAGCACTCAATAAAAAGTTATTTAAAAAAATTCAGACGGAAGGTTTCCATATGACGCTTAATAATAGGAGGCTCAAGAATAGAGCCATAATTATCGCAAGAAACAAGAACATTAACCACAAAGTTCAGGGCCGTTTTCAGATGAGGTGATGTCTGAATAAATGGTAGATGAAAAACTATATCTGCCACAGATTAATTTTAAAATTTAACAGACTAGGAAACGCATAATTAAAAGGAAAAAAACATTTCACAAAAAAGATGAAGTAAAGCTTTGCATCAAGAGGAAGTTTTCTGGGATGGAATTTCCCAAACCAACAACTTTTTTTAAATTAAAAACAATTAATGGTCATACTTCCTCATGAGTCAATCGAGAGGCAGTTAAAACAAAAGCAAAGTATGATTTCATTAGCGACAGGATCCATTAGAACTTATAGTAAAATATATTTACTCAGAGAAGTTTTCCTGAAAAGAAACGACATCCAATTCGATTTCTCTCTTGCCGAACTACATAGTTGGGTACTACCTTCGACATAACACCTCCAAACACCTTCAAGTTGAAACAAAGAACAAGTTGGTACGGATTGATTCTCGGGTTCACACAAATGTCTTATGCGCATAAAATAGCGATAAGGAGGATTTAACGGAAATGGGAAAGATTAATAAGAAACACAAATACACACCTCAGATGCCGCACAAACGAAGCAAATTGAGTACTATCTGCTACTTGAAGGCCTTTGACTCGGCTTCAAAAGGGCTCAATCAATTGAAATTACAATGATAAAGACTAATCACTAATTATTGGCTTAAGATACCCCTAATTCACTTTGGCTTTTTATTAAATAAATTCAGTTCTTAAGTTCAAGGAATGAAGAACTTAAATTTTCAAGGAATAAAATGCCTTAATTTTAGAGAACATACCCGTGATGGATAATTTTATCACGGCTACTTGGTAAAGAATTAATAATTTTACATTGAAAAAACCAAGATTCCAGTACAAACGAAAAATATGAGAGTAAATAACAAAGCATGTCATGCCACTCATCTCATTATTCTGTTAATATCTTAAATAATAGAAAAAAAGGTAGGAAACGGCACTCACATTAAGCAATTGGACAAAAAATATGAATTTGCACGAGAGTTGACAATCCGAAGTACAAATAGCTGTGATCACATGCTTACCTGGATCAAGAGAGAAATTCTTGTGATTGAGGAATGAGTTGTAGCAGGAGATAACAACTGGTTGAATAGGAAGTTGAGTTTGAATTGCTAGGTGGAAGGCACCCTTTTTGAAAGGTAGCATTTCTCCGTTATGATTACGTGTTCCCTCAGGAAACATGAAGAGATTAACCTAAAGAAAAAAAATTATTAAAAACTAACCATAATGAACGCAAAAATGTCAAGACCGCATTCTCACCTTATCATTCTTTATTATTTCAGCAGTTCGTTGCATTTCACTAAGAGCTTTGGCATGATCCCCACGATGAATCAGAATGACCTTAGTAAAATACAAAATTGCTCCCAATGATCCGAAATACTTCAGCGAGTTCTTTGCAATTACAGTTGAAGGATATTTCCAAACATCACAAAGACCTAAAATAGCAAGCATAATGTCAAGAAAACTATAAAATTAAAATACAGAATAGATGCCAATGAATAACTTACTCAAGACATCAACAAAGCTCTGGTGGTTACAGACATAAACACACTGCCTGTCTTTATCGTAGGTTTCCAGACCGTAAATACGAGGTTGAAGTCCCATGCTAAGGCGAGCTAGTTTGTAGACTTTGATGAAAGTACTAAAATAGAATAAATGAGAATTGAGGTATAAACTTACCAACTATTTTCATAACGTGGACCATCCCGTATAAAGAAAATTACTGAGTACACAATAGCCCCTGTCAAGACAATAAAGGCAAAAGAGAAGTAACCGACGAAGTAGCGAACGTGAGGGCGCGTTTTAGGGATTATGAAGAGCAGCAAAATAACTCCGATGACATACAGTAAACACATAGTTGCTAAAGAAATATTGCACAGTTAAACACAAAAATGTAAATCACTATAAATTCAAAGGTATAAATATATAAGAGAACAGCTAGAATTGAAAAGATTATACTTCTGCGAATAAGCAGCAATGCTAATAAAATAAGCTCAAGATCACGCGCTAACCCTATACTAGCCTTGACTAAATTAAAATATTCTTTTTTAAACTAATAAATTAAAACGCTATTTAGTTCCACGTTATTTTGTAATATTTTCAATAACTACATCATATTATAATTATTTTCATTTTTTCGAATAAGATAAGGTGACAAATTTTTTCCACTACAATGAAATTGTTATTCATTACTTTACCAAAAATTTTTATATTCTCGTAACACTTAGTAAAACAGTGTGATAGAGAAAAATAAATATCTCTTGTACTCTATTCGTTTTTTATTCTTCTTGACAAAATATTTTAAATTTTCATTTGGCCTATTATTAAATAGTATGTATGCATCCTTTTACTATTTTAATGAAATATTACTTACCAAACTATTTATATAATCTCAAAGTTCTTTTAAGCTCATTAATAAATTATTGTGTTATTACTTTTCAAACTGTATGCTTAAGTAGACCTGATGAAATGGGTTTGCGGAAATGGTATAGAAAACTTTGTGTACACGACTACGCTTAGATTCCCATGGTTCCCATTGTAGAATCATCAGAATAATTAAAAATAAACCATTATAATTCTACCTATATTTATTTTTTCGTAGGGCTTTAGTAACCACTATACGTAGATTTTAATGACAATTTAAAATCGAAATTGCTATCATTATTATCGAGTATATACACTATATACATATATATATTTCTTTATATCCTTTATATATCAAATAAATGATTTTATTAAACAAGGGCTAATCAGTTAGATGAATGACGATATTGCGTTATTAAATTTACCTATTTCAAATTTGCTTTAAGTTTCCAATCCTTGAATGTGCGCTACTAATTATATATGGTTATTTTATGTCAATCACACACTCTCATTTGGCCGTATTTCTTACAAAGTTACTAATATTTTTGATTTTATGCTCCCTTTGGTTAGTTATTTCTCAGTTTGGCGCACATAAGCAAGAACAAATGCCAAAGAACAGCCAAATATATTTCGAAAACGGTTCGTTGGTCATTTTATTTGACTTGAGAATTTATGAAATCACAGCCTGATAAATGTACAGTTATGCTACGTTATTGTCATCAATGGGGTGGTATTTTCAGATTGGAAATTTCTTTGAAATAGGAACCTACTATTTCTAATTCATTACGATTTCCAAACCCCCCCCCCCCCCCAAGCTGTTAAAATTGTGTCCTAATTACTTTTTGGACAGAATACATTCGAGTTGGTCTTATACTGGAATCCTACAAGTAAACAATGTCTCAAAATGAATATCTTATGTATGGTTTATCTGTTTGACGAACTAAACTTACTATAAATTGTACTAACTGATTAAATTTCATATTTCTTGGAGAATCCGTCCCCAAGAATATATGTGAATGGCTTAAGCTTGTCTTTCACAAATGTTTTATGGCTCTCTACAGTCCATATAACAGTCGCTTTAATTTACAATAATTGAATAATCTTATAAATGATCAGAACAATGAAAGGTAGCCATTATGTTGCTTATATGCAAAATATATGACAATTTTCCTCTTATCATTGTAATCAAGTGTATAGTAGTTTCTTACATTATAATCTCTCCGAATGTTAACGAGCACCTTTGGGAGTAAAGTAAACCAAACGGCCCCTATAAGTAAAATATGAAGGCTCCTTCATGGTTAAAAATCGTAATGAATAGACAATTAATTTCAACATGAAATATCAACAGATGTTAAATTTAGGCTTCTGAGAGAATATCGGGGCAGACACTACCCGACCTAACCCAGTAATCTGGCACACCAAGTCGTATCTTTAGCATAAAATTTCTAAACGGAAATCAATTTGAACCTACTTCAAGCGGTAATACCACACAGAATCTCTTCATTTCAAAGGAAATAATTATTAATAAAATTTCAATTATATCTCATCATTTGAACCTCATATTCATTTTATTACCAAACATCATACAAAGCTAACTTAATAGATAATTGTTTTTAAATAATTATGAGATAATTTTTAAGTAACAGAGTTATAGGCATGATCAGGTATGAGCAACTTGATAAATCTGAAAGTGCTCGTCAGTTTCAGTTTTGTAGCGGATTGCTACTTTATTAAAGCCTGACTGACTCAGAAATTTCTATGGCAAACTCTCCAACATCTAGCTAGACTCCCAGAACTAGCCAAGCTATAGCCCAGCTATAAAGGAAACAGAAGTGCAGCACGGAGCACGCTTACTCAGTACGGGGGAAGGTGTACACGCAGGGAGTTAATCATGATCAGGATGGCGGATCAGGTTAAACAAACAGATAGCTAGCTACTCATGATCAGGATGGGGGAGTAGGTTAAACAGAGGTCGATGATTGGTCACTGTTTGTACGAACCTCCCAATCCTGGCGAGCAGACATGCAGACATACGATGGTGCACACAGCGATAACGTGTCCCACATTCCCAATCCTGGCGAGCAGACATGCAGGCATACGGTGACGCACAACGCGATAACGTGTCCCACAGTTTGCTTTCGAAATATGAAAAAAAGTAACCCAAGTCCTAAGATATCCTTAATCCTGACTATGATTTTAATTATTCTCTGAATGACAAATAAATCATTTAAAAGTACGCATACGCAACCAGCTCAAAAAATTTATTTTTATCAAATGGCAGGCTTAATGATAATTATAATGAGCCATTTAGTTGACTTTGGACTTCGCAGAGGGGAGGAACATTAAAGTCACAATAGCCGAAGTAGGGGGGGGGGGGGAGNGCCGAAGTAGGGGGGGGGGGGAAGAGGGAACAGAAGAGTTATTCGCAGATGTAAACGTGATAGACACAATGATATATAAAAAGATAAGGTGAGTACTTTGGGCGTTGTCATTTAGAACGTATTTATTTCAAATGGCAGGCTTTATGATATTTATCATTAGCCCTTAAACTTTGACTTCAGCTTCCTCCAAGGGTGGGGGGGGGGTACATTTATAGCAGTTCATTAATAGCAATTCATTAGCTGTCTTCTTGCTTCCCAGTATCTCTGGCGTTCCGTCGTTGCCTTTAGAGCTGGACACCGAATCAGGTGGGTCTTCTCCATTTCCTCCTGTAGGTTACATAGAGGGCATGTGGGTTGAGTGTATACTCTCAATCTGTTAAGGTGTTTTGCCAAGCAATCGTGTCCGGTACGTAGTCTAAACTCAGCAACGGCTTCGATTCTTTGCCAGTCGGGTATGTCAGACATTGCCACTGTCCACTGTTTCTCCTTTGTTCGAGCTTTAAGTTCGTTGCACCTTGAGGTCTGGAATTCTTTCCTGATTAAGGCCTTCATTGTGTGGAAAGACATGGGCCGGTCCATGCATTGCAAAATCGTTGTCCCTTTCTTAGTAAATGTGTCAGCAAGCTCATTGCCTTTAATGCCACAGTGACTAGGAATCCATTGTAGGACAACTGTTTGTTTTGTCTCTCAGTAGCTCATAGAGTTTTCTACATTCCTTTATGTATATGTATATATATAATCGTTGAATGAAATAAATTTAAATTACTAAACTATTTAACATCCATTTTCACAAAACCTCCACCAATACTCTTCAACTTGAACATATGAAAGTATTTTTTTGAATTTTTGGGTGAGAAGCATTGACTTGAAATACTGATCATCATAGTTGTTCAAGTTGAAGAGGAAATATCGAATTACAGTTGAAAATCAAGCAAAGAATGAGTTGAGCGTTTCTGAGTCGAATGTACAGCGCCATATCCGATGGCATCGAGCTAAACGAATTTTAATATGGAATCATTTTCTACATTTTTCTCATAAAAATATGTCAGTTAATGGTCTGTTATTTCTTTATTCCGAATGACAGCACCAATCACATGCACGCAATATGCTTCCTTTTGGAGGGCTAACACCCATAAGCCCCTTAATGAGGCCAGATTTCATCCGTTGTTCTTGAGCCCTATGTTCACGATTTCGATCTCCCACTCTTTCTCTCTTTCCCCCCCCCCCCCCCCCACCTTCATTTTCCTTCACTATTCATCTCTTTCGACATTGTCGTTGATCATCTGCCGAGAATCGTTAGGGGAAATCTTTGGAGTCGTTGGAACATTGTAGTAAACCCCTTTCCCTTCATAAAGTTGGCTCAGAAGCCAAACTATCATAGAAGCAATTGTCTTCCCAGGTGTCTAGCTACATTTTACTCATGTTACGTTTGCATTCCGAGGTGTGCGATAGACTTACCTCCACGTGGTGCACCCTGGGCAACGTATACTCATACGGCAAAAAGTCTATTAATCGGCAGTTGACTTCTGACTACAAACTTCCATGACCCCATTACATTTCATATTCGAATAATTCCACAATATTCACCTCACCTTTTTTCTATCTTTGTGTCTGTCTGTCTCTTTTACGTCTGTGAATCATTATTCTGTCCCCCTCTCGACTTTTTACCACTTGGATGTTCATCTTCCTTTCTGTGAAGCCCGAAGTCAACTAAAGGGCTAATGATACCTATCATAACGCCTGCTATTTGAAATAAATAAATGTTTGCATTCTTTTGATCGACCTGATAAAGGCTCAAGGGGAACTAATCATCTGCCGCAATCATATGAAATAGGAGCATTTGATTATAATTGCTTCAATATTCCTAGGTAAGTAGGGACTGCTTGTCTTCACATTGAATAAGTGAGAAGCTCTTAAAACTAAAACCAAGGTCATAAAATGAGCAAAATTTTCCATTAGATGATAAAATCAATTTAAACCTGATTAAACAAAAGTTTGATTCGAATGATTTACAACTTTGAGAAGAATTAAATAAACAATCTTTTAAAGTGATAACTTCACAACGTATCAGGTCTCAAGGATTTAACATTTTACCTCCGTAAAGACTTGAAATATCTCATTATATGTCAAATAATGTCAAAAACTAGCTTTATTTTGTTTTAAATTTATTGTTCCTACAGTTAAACAAAAGATTTGAGACCAAAATAAACGACAATAGTTCAAGTAATCTCTCGAGCAACCGTTGCCTTTGACAACCATACAGAATAGAGCACGGAAACTGCTGAATTTTCCGAACTTCTACAGTTTTCCCTCCCATACATAAACCAGTTATTCACAATGCATCCAGCCATCAGCATCGTCGCAGTTGGCGTTTCAACTATCTTCCTCATTCTTTCTCTTGCCATCCCCAAATGGCCCTGTGGTGGAAATATCTTCGATGTATGCTCAAAGTTGGCTGGTAACATGGGTGAAAATTACCTGGCCGTAGGAGTCCTTATTGTCATTGCGATCCTACTCATGTTTATTGTTCTGATTATCCTTCTAGTCATGACGTTTGCTCATGCACCATCGTGGGTTAATATTATCGCTGCTGTAGTATCGATCGTTGCCTCAATCTTTGCTGTGGCCGCTGTTCTACTATTCACCGACAAAGCAAGTGTGTCATGGAGTCCTCTGATGGCTATTGTTGGTACTACAGTAGGAATTCAGATCTCCGCTATGCTGGTTCTTGCTGCCTTCATCAAATAATAACTCCCACATGGGCCACTGGACTTTACTCAAAACTTACCAAATGTCTGTCGTTATATTCAGAAAATAATTATTTTTCAGTGAATTTTGCCCTCTCAATCTACATTACTTAAGTTGCATAAAATAATAAAAATATGATCTTGAAATTTAAGTTGTTTTTTTGTGTTCTTTGTACCGTTTTATGAAACCAAAAATGAATGGGGGTGGTGTTTTCAAGGTAGTAAATTACCAAGTTGTGTGTAAATTCCAATTTATTACGCAATTAAATTTATGAAACAGGACAAATGCTCGCCTTTATAGCCAAGGCGACATTTCATCAAAGTTTAAACTCTAAAGACTTTGGACTGTGTAAATGTAACCCCTAAGCCCAAAATCAATTAATAAGATAAACACTTTTCGTATCGAGAGTAGATTGTGGCCCATAAATAAATGAAAATTATACTTTCAAATAACTATAAGTAACGTATTTTCTGAGTTTGAGCTCCTTCGATTTTGATCAATTGATTCGATTCTACTTCATGAAGGAAGGTTAAGTACTGGCTTTTGATTACTGATAATTTATTTATTCATATCAAATGGCAGGCGTTTTGATAGTTATCATTAACCCTTTAGCTGACTTCGGGCTCCACAGAGGGAAGGAGGAACATCAAAGTGCCAAAAAGTCGAGGGTTGGGGAACAGAAGAGTGATTGCCAGGTGCAAAAGAGACAGGCAGATAAAAAGGCTGAGAAAAGGTAAGGTGAGTACTGCGAAAGTTGTGGAATATGACGCACAATGGGGTCATGGTAGTTTGAAGTCAGAAGTCAACTGTTGGTAAATAAACTTTTTTGCCGTATGAGTATACGTTGCCCAGGGTGAACCACGTGGAGGTAAGCATATGGTTCATACTATTATTGATAATTCATTCTAATAATTTCTCCTATGTAAATTGAATAATTATAGTCTCTAATTTCAATAAAGAACAAGTTTCAATTTTGTTGATTATAACAAATATCAAATGTATTGCAGTTTAATTCAAGAAAAAGACAATATTCAATTGGAGGAATTGGCTTAAACACTAGGTGAATGATGGTAAATATTTTATAGATATAAAATTTACAAAACTGTGCGGTATTAATCTGTTTCTGCCATTCAAAGAATTTACCACTTTTCGAAACTGAGATTAAATACATAAGTGTTTTTTGAAATTATTGAAAAATATTGAAATTAATTAAAATAACATTAAATCATTGAATAAAGGAAAATATTTACTGAAAACTTTTTGCCCTTAAAAATGGAGTAGTAACTCATTCTTAATGATATATATATATATATATATATATATATAAGTATAGTATAGTATATCGAAAAAGATGTTGAATCTTATCCTGCAAAGATATAATAAGCGAAGGTTTAGAAAAAGGATAGGCTTATACTGTTCCAGCAGTGACTAAAGCATCAGCCTCAGAGAGTAATGCCTATGTAATCATTGAAAGATCAATACGAATATTATGGGAAAATGACGGAGTCTTGAACTGAAGAAACCTTACTTTTACACATTGGTGATTGAAGAACCATGGCTCCGCAACTTGAATGCGAGAGTTGAACGTAGAAAAATGCACATTTTGGAACTGTAAAGGAAACCCATGATAGATATAACAATGAAAAGTAAAGGAGAGAGCTCAGTTTTAATGAGTCTTTATGTTTCAATTCTTCAGATTTTGATTGATCTGGTAGACCCTGGGAAACCTTCAAAAACATTCCGCATGACAAGCGCTAGCCCTCGGCACTATTCTCTAGTATTTATCTTCTTAAAGCATGTCATAATTTCATCTTTTCACATTACATCACAAATCATACCCCAAGGCCATTTATCTACCCTCCATCTCTCTTTCAAAATTTACACATCTTTCCATTAAAACTTGGATGTCAAAATATTTGTTGATTTGGGTTCGTGAGGTGTTATTGGAAACGATAGCTCAGATGGATAGCATTTACCACATTCAATATCTCTAAATTAATTTAAAGTGGAGTGTTCCAGAACCTCTAGATGGATAAAGGTGCACTTTACTTCCAACATACTGACCACTTTAAGTGGTACTGCTAATCGTGGTGTTCATCTGTTGCACACCAATGAACACGTAGTCAATGCGATCATTTAATGTTCTAGGGGAAAAATCGGGCGTTTAAATTAGTTTACTCTGTCTGATCTTTGATTGACTCCTTGATTATATTTCAATTTGAGTCATAATAGATTTATTAATTCACTGAATCCCTTAAACACAACTTAGCGTACTTCACCTCAAAATTCTCTTAATTATAAGTCTCATAATTATCCCCCCCCCCTCTTCACTAAAAATTACACGGTCTGAATATTCATTAAACTCATTTACCTTACATTAATGCATGGTGTCGCGTTAGAGAAAATTTGCTAGAAGTTGCTTGCCATCCAGTAACTAGAGTGTTGCTAATCAACTTTTTAACTTTCACTAAGCCAACTTGTTGTTGGTGGAATTAGTACAAACTCTTAATGAAGGTTTCCAGTTGACATTAACAACCAGATAGGGGATTGGGATATTGGTTTGAAATACTTGTGAGGATATATTGAACTTCTGATGAAAAGAATTATTTAGAGGACGGGGTGTGCGATAGACTTACCCTGGGCAACGTATACTCATACGGAAAAAAAACTATAAACTAGTAGTTCACTTCTGACTTCAAACTACCATGAGCCCACTGTTTGTCCTATTTGTCCATATTCACAGTACTCACCTTACCTTTCCTCTACTTTTGTGTCTCTCTGTATCTTTTACATCTGTGAATCACTCTTCTGTTTCCCCTCTCGACTTTTCTCACTTCGATGTTGTTCCCCCTGTGATGCCCGAAGTCAGTTAAATTGATAACGATAACTAAATTATTCAATATCGCCATATCCAGAATATTAAGAATATGAACATACAGAACATTAAACAGATCATAGCAACTGTTGAAAGTGAGCACGACTATCATCGTCAATACGCAATTAAGCATGTCCACTCATGTGGTGAGATTTATTAACTTTCAAAGCTTCCTTGTCATTAACTTCGAAGTCCATTGGTTGCGATGTTTACATCTACCTTATTCTATATGATCACCCATGTAACCCCACTTCAGCATGTTTCGGCATATCGACCGTTCAATGTTTAGTTGGGAGGATGGAAGTCTGGTTGATTTCCGCTGGTCGTCTCATCAGAGTCTCTTGAAGACATTAAGTACTTTTCAGTGACCAAACCGTATGTATACAGTTATGTTTAATGCTATCGGCTGAACCTGTAGACGTAAATTTAGCAAGCATTTTCTGAACAGCGCTTTTTGCGTGAGCAATTGTCTGAGTGAATATTTTGTAATCAAGCCTTCATTTAGTGTTACAAATGGTTTGCATCAAAGAAAAACTTTTATCAATGAACCCTCTTTGTTCTATTAAAAAAAGCGATTTTCAATAGGAAGTTCTTGAAGCATGACAACGCAACACTGAGAAAAACAGTCAAGACAGCTGGCCGCTGAACATCATGTGACCCCACATATGCGCTCATTATCGCTCTAGGTGTGAAATAGAGAACACGGGACCTTCTTTATCTTATTCACGCTGTGTATAAGCGACTGCAAGTTGTCTTCATATTATTTAATGGTCAACCACCTCCTAACCGTTAATAATTATTTCCTTCCAAAGGACTCTATAACTGTCACCAGCGGCATACACCCACATATTGTTAATGGCGATAGACAACTTAGAGTCCAAATACGCCAATTCTTCACCTTAACAAAAGCTTCAACTCTACTTCAGGCTGTGTTTGCGTGCAACCTGTCAAAAAGCGTCCCAAATTTAGCTCTGTCACAGGGTGTTCGAAAACGTTCAATAGTTTTCCAAATACGAAAAACTTTAAAGTCTTCAACAATTTTCTTCTAAAGGGATTTCCTTTCAAGTAAAGTAGACCTCGATGACAGAAATCTCAAACTCATCCTTTCTCCTTTAACAAAAGGAATCAACATTGTTGGTGTTTTGCGTGATAGACTGAAATCGAATTCACAAATTTCAGACAAATAGGAAAAAAACATAACGTTCTTTTAAGCACTCAGCAGACTAACAACTTTATCATTTTACTTGTAGATTGTACTTGGAGGATTATTCTGGGTAGAAACAATGAGAGCCTATCATAACCCGTTCAAATACACCCAAATTATGTACACTAGAGGAAATTTTGCCCTCCTTAATATGGCTGTGCATAGCCATTTACATAGGCTGGAATACTCATAGAGGTAACTATGGTTATGGTAGCTCTGTACTTGCTGAACCATGAAGGATTTGCTTAAGAACGTGTTCTTTTATGTTTGACTGGAGTGGAGGATTTAGCTCTCCCCTAGTTATCCTTTATCATGGTACTAGAAGCCAACTCCCCCCCCCCCTCCGTTGAGTATTGGGAGCTCAATTCAGGGCATCTGTCGCCTATTTGAAAGGCACAAAATCATCGAACACGGGGATTTAATTCAATTAAAATAAAATAGACATCGTTTTTATCCTCGGGATAAAATTTCATGAATTTTATAGAGATCAAATTTCTTACTGTCTTTCCACACAATGAAGGCTTTAATCAGGAGAGAATTCAAGACCTCGAGGAGCAATGAACTTAAAGCTCGAACAATGGAGAAAGACCTCGAGGAGCAATGAACTTAAAGCTCGAACAATGGAGAAACAGTGAGCAGTGGCACTCTTTGATATAGCCGAATGGCCAAGAATCGAAGCCGTTGATTAGTTTAGACTACGTACTGGACACGATTACCTGGCAAAACTCCTTCACAGATTGGGAGTATGCACTCAACCCACATGCCCCCTATGTAACCTACAGAAGGAAATGGAGAAGACCCACCTGATTCGGTGTCCAGCCCTAAAGACAATGATGGAAAGCCAGAGTTACTGGGAAGCGAGAAGACAGATAATGAACTGCTATTAATTAACTGCTGAAGTCAAAGTTTAAGGGTTAATGATAAATATCATAAAGCCTGCCTTCATGAAACAATTTCTTACTTAGCACCTACGCAGTACCACCAAAAAACACATTTTTGAGCGAAATACAAATGAGTGAAATTGCATGAAATATTTCATAGCTCATAAGTGCTGTATCTTCGAAGAACTTTGAATGTACGCGCTTCCAATTTACCAAGTTCAATTATCTGAAGAGCCGCGCTTCACTCACCTTGTCTATTGCCCAATTGGTTACATTCACAGAGAGAAAATTCAAAAATCTAAAGAGGCTCACAAGATTACTAAACTATAATACCAATTCTCACGTATAAGTCTTCACATAGTTGTTATGATTGTCGCTTGCTGAGTAAATTATTTATTCTCTAAAAGTCATGTGGCAATTCAGTGACAATAGAGTCATGACTTTAAAAAAACAATAGATGACAGAATCCTTCATTTTTACACACACACACACATATATATTGTAGGATATTTGAATATGGCAATTTTTTGATAAATACACTTGGAACCGTATATGTTGGCAAAATGCAAACATATAGCCAATCTAGCTTGTCATCAACCAGTATTTTGAATAAGTGGGAGTTTGAAGTATGAAGGTTTCATGGTCGGCTAGTTTATTTGGACCACTGGTGATATTGATGTCGTACAAACTTTTCCAGCAAGTATTTAGCATTATTTCATTGGCAGTCCGGTCAATATTAAAGTCTAAGAGCAATGACTTGTAAAATAACCATAATAGGTTATTTGAAGTATCCGAAGTACACTTCATGGAACAAAATTAGGTTGTGCAATTAGGTCTGCAAATTACCAAGCACGGTGTGTTCTTATCACCACCTCACCGAGTGACCTTGTCTACTACTTAGGTCCCACCATGTGCCACAGCCTAGGCGTGTAGTCTATGAGATATCAAGCGTTTAATCGCCATACTGTGCTCAAGTATCTCCTCATTATGTACTAATTTAACAAAATAATTAATAATGCTACTTTCTGGAAAAAGATACATAAAGTAATATTGGCTAATTTGTGAGTTCGATGTCACTTGACCAATTAAGTCAAGGATTAGACTTGATAGACAATAAACAACAAATTAACAAAAAAAACTAGCATCTAGTGAGTAGTAAGTTATAAGTGGATTTACACTAACTTCAATCCTGTAGATTTGAGCATATTTAAATGTGAGATTCTATGACTTAATGTCGCTTTCATTCCTATCTTTTGACTTAAAAAACGAATGAACTCCAATTGGGTTCTCAGTTTTAAAACTGACCCCAGCAGAATTGGAATCATTAGGGTCATTCTTGTAAAAGCCCATAGACACAGACTTAAAATGATGATACACAGAATTTGGGATAAGTCTGTGGCGATCCATTGGTATTGAATGATTGGAAGTAAAGAATAAGGACACCCTATGCCAATAAACACGAGGTGAACTCTTTTAATGTTTGGGTAAATCTAACATGACCTGTATTAGTATGGCGTTATCAGATAAATGAATATTGCTATATTAGGTAAGAATAAGCGTAGTGACTATCACCTACACGACATGATGAATCAAGTTAAATTCTGGTGTGTATCAGCTGTTACCCACACTAGCTCGCACCAACTTAGCCAATCATCCAATAGGAGACTACCAAAATATAGCACTCTTATTAATTGCATTAGATCAAGTAGGTAGAAAGGCATGCGCTAGAGTGATCTTATGTGCATAAAGAGGCACGGTACACACACCATTGCACCTGCACACAGTAGCTACCAAGTGAGCACACACAATCGGCAGCACCTAGGGTGGAACAAAAGCATCATCACATCCCTAAATTTCTCATTATTTCATCTCAAACACCTCTCCATTGGTGAGCACCATGTGTCAGACATTTTCACTCAACACACCGACTACTATTCAGCGTCGACATATTGGCTTTGGAGTCATTCTAATCTTCTTCTCTATTGCTCTAATCATCGCCGAGGCTAAACGACCCAGTTTTACCTATGTAGGCTATTGGGTTGGAACCACCAGTGTTCTGCCATCAATTTTGGCAATAGCATGTGGAATTAAAACAGATAAGCGTATTCTTATTTGCGCCTCCGTTAGTGATATCATTGCTTCAGTTACATGTGTATCTGGAGCTATTCTTTCCCTGGTCTTCTTCTCAGTCCAGGTCTATGCCGTTGGGTGGTTATCGGTTATCCTTACTACATTCCTTCTTTACCATGCCTTTATGATATTTGGCGAACTTAGTGTCTGCTGTAAGATAACAATTTTTGAAATGTCCGATGTGGGTTCGGAGGATAATGACCGACGTCGGAGAGATAGGGATTTCCCGGCCCCTCCGGTGGGATTCATTATGCCGGATGAAGTTCCAAAACCCCCTAACTATGATCAACTATCAATCCGAGGCGATCCACCGTCTTATAGTCAAATCTATTCCCAACCACCTCGAGCTTCCCCAACTTCACCACCACCTCCACCCTCAGTTGCTGCAGGTCAACGAAAAAAGGAAAGGTCATCCAGTGCTATTAGGATTCCAATAAGTGATAGAAACGATCAAAAACACCCCTCGAATAATACATCTCACCCTCGATCAAATCTAAGTGGCGAGACAAGATCGGCTTCAATGAATGCGTTAGAAGGAGTTTGATAATGTACCTGCGGGGTGCTCATTCGCTGCAATGCATTTATGAAGACGTCCCTTTCTGTTTGTCTATGAAAGGTGTGTATAGAGTTATATATCTCCCCCCTTTCCCTCTCCTCCCTTCCCCCCCCCCCCCCATTTCATTTTATTCAAAGAGTAGGTCTGTCGGGCGCATTTTATTACATATTGAAAACTGGAGATGAATGAACCTTAAGAATGCGAAGCTTTGTTTGTGAAAATTCTATTCAATATAATATTTTCTTCTAATTAATTTGTCTTACATGAGATATGAATTAGTGCCACTAAGGCTATAAAACAGGAGAATGCACAAACATTAATCCATTCAAAATTCTAATTTTAACACTTTTATCGTAAGATTGTTTGTGATTTAATTAATGAATGTAAGATTTTATAACATCAATAATACCTTGTATAAATACAATTAGTATTAAAAAAACTAGGATTAACATATTTCATTTATTGATTTAATTAAGGAATCGTTTATCTTGATTTAACTAGAATGCGTTAATTTAAATTATTAATTGGAATTAAATAATTTGATTTAACGAAATTAAACACAACTCGTTGTAATAAATGGAATTTACAATAAAATATTATTATTTTCAGATATTATTTGATCGATAATTTTTGGCTTTCATTCGATTTATTCTGTTATTTATTTTCAGACTTTCTTCATCGTCTTATGATTTCAAACCAGTTCGGCAGGTGTTTTTCATTTAATACCCCTTGGTTGATGTGTTATCATATTCCTAAAGGCTGTCATGATTTATAAGAGGGAGGGAGGGGGGGGAGGGGGGGGGTTCCCAAAGTGGAGATATCGTAGAATGACATGACAAGCTTGATCCACTTAGGCATCACATGCACGAATTTCCGAAAAAAACTTGAAATCACAACGTTAGATCTTAATTGAAAATATGGGTATCATTAACCTTCATTTATTAAACGCAATTTATTTGTAACCAGCTCACAGAGTCTGGATTAAATACTGGGAATATATTTCCGTTTATAACCCCTACGCCCCCTTAGTGAAAGCATTTCTACCTATTATTCAAGCTTTAAATGCACCACTGTGGAGCCAGCTTATGAGATATTCCAAACTTATGACTATCTTTGTCTTCCAATCCTACCATCATTCCAAAGACCAACGAAATGCCCGAGCATACAAACAGTCAGCTTGTTTCGAAACGCTGAATTTAAATCCAACCCATCCTAAACACTGTTGATTGATTATTATTGATTTTTGTATAAAACTCCTTGAAATCTAAAAATAATATTTTGATGGTCATAAAACCAATAATTTAGACCATTTTTATCTGGTCTAAAAGGTTGTATTCATTTATAATTCAAATTTTCTCCAGTTGAGAGTATTATACACGTCTACTGAACTCATTTAAAATGAGTTCATGGAATTAATTGTTATCATCCCAAGTACAATTAAGACTTGTAATTTATAATGCAATCAGTTGTACATCAAAATAATGTTAGAAAGTTGTAAGTTTCTCTGCATGGAAATGGAGCATTTGGTAATAATTTAGCACTGAGAAGATTAGGAAAATTCCTAACATGTAAATATACTATTTTTGTTGTGTGCTTTTGATTTTTCATTACCAAATAGAGGCTTTAGAAGTTCTAAAGGTTATAAATTCCTTAAACAATTTACTCAGAAAGACTTCACACATTCATTGAGTTAATTGTATTAAAATTTCAATGACACGTAATAGGGTTTAGTAAAATGATTCAGGCATATAATGTGATAATTGATTTAGTAGATTAATTTATAAAACGCCCTTCAAAACTCTGAGAATTACAAAGACTATTAGTGAGCAAACTAGAATTAATTCATTCAACTTTTGGCAATTAAAATAAAATCTATCTTTCTTTGATGCGGCGTGTACACAGAAGTCACTTATTGAAAATCTGCTATGCTTTTGAACATTTGCGTGCGATATTAAAACATTCTTTTTTTGATGGCAAGGTGTGAACAAACTCGCCGAATGGTGTGGAGGAAGAATTGAGTCGACTAATTTAAATCACCATAAACTTGTTCTCAGACAAGCACCTAGTGACTTAATCTGATAAACAGGGAGAGTTAAAGAAGTTTTTTGCGATTCCTAACGCCAAACCGTGTGACTCAACTGCGCAAAATAGACATAGGTTTCAAGGTCACGAGAGGCATTCATAAATTCTAACAAGGCGACATCTTTCATTTGGCAGCTATATGACTGCTCAAATTAGGTATTAAAGTACATGCCAATCCCTATGTGAGATCAATTTTCAAGACCTAAAAAGGAAAGGAATGGCCTATAATTACCAATTTAGAAAAAAAATCATTTCATAAAATTTGGGTTATATTTGATATTTCAGAACAAAAAAAATAAAGTTTAAATCATATCGTTAATCTAGATTGCTTTATCTGTAAAGAAAGTTTGATTACTGAAAAAGTTGAGCTACTGATATGCATGACTGATCTTCCGTAGATCTAAATCGATTCAAATTAAATCAGGATAGCATCGATTCCTTATCATATCTTCATAAAACCTACTGGCTCACCCCTGTAAAGCAGTCAGTCAAATACCGTTGCGAAGAAGAAGGATGAAAGGTTAATTTTCCACTAACAAATTACTAGATGCTGGTTAAAAATTGCCTTAAAATTCTTCTGTAAGCTGGTCGACTAATTTCATGAAAATGAAATTTGCACCTAAATAAAGAACTTGATAATTTAAATTGTATTTCTGGTCGACTGTTTGAGAGAAACCAATATTGCACCGGTTTCTTTGTCAATAACGATCAGATCAAAATCGTTGAGACTACTATAATAGTCATTTAATCGATTTTCCGTAAATGGGTTCGTCTCAGCATTTTTTTGCTATGGAATGGATACAATATTACAATTTAAGCTATCCTATGAAATGATAATGAAATACATAAAATTTTAATAAAATAAATGTTTGCTTTAAATAATCTTACTTGGTAAATTCTTATCTAAATCCAGTCAAAAATCCAATACTTTTGTCAGCTGATAAATACCAATTTTATTTGGTTGTTGATAGAGTAAAATGTGAACTCACTGAAATAGCATGAAGAAAAATTTACAATTTTGGGTAATTTCAGAGATTTCGGTCAATAAAGAATGGTAATCAATCAATAAATATTATTGACAAGGTGCGATGGCGTTCATTCGAGCAACTTCTCTTCTCTATTCCCACCACTTGAGATAACACACCAATCTTATAACAGATTAATTGGTGGAATCAGAACAATTCACAAAATACTTGAATAATTTAGAGTCATTATGAGATCCATGAATACCATTAAGATAAGAGAATGGAATTATTTTGACTTATTTCATATATCTTTAAAAAAATTTAACAAAATTTTTAAACTTTTTTCCGAAAACCTTCTTTACGATGTATAAAATGAAATATCGATTTTATGGTTAATCGATTGGATAAGGTCTTTTATAACTTAAAGTATAGGTCCAAATTAGTGGGGCATGATTATGATGTCCTATAAATTGATATTTAAAAAAGGGTTTAAATAGGATAATGCAGTTTATATAATCAATTTCTTTGGAAAAAATCTAATACGTAATTTTTTAAGTTATATTGCCCAAATTTGTGGAAATTATTTTAGTACGTCTGATTGCAGTGAAGGTGCTTCATTAAGAAAAAAATATTGGCTTGGCGAATAAGATTTCAGTTTAAACGCACCACTCTTGGAGGGAGAAAACGATTTGAGCAGTTATTTTTACGAATTATTCGGAACCAACTGACGTAAGGTAATAATTAGTAATTTAATACTTATTGTTACTTAAGTGTAGGGTATATCACATCACTCAATTGTTATATTACTGGAGAAAATCGATTTATGATTCGAGGTTAATGGATACATCTTGGACAAAAATTACATGGGAAGAGAGTTAACGGGGGGTTAAAATATATATTAATAACTGCGGATTAGCTAATAAACCAACGATTAGATAGAATAGGACCAAACATTACACATTACTCTGTAACCACTTTCTACCCTTCCTGCTGTTCAATTTTAAGTGAAACATTCAAATACAGTGCAATATTTCGTTACTCATATTTAGTTCGTAGTAATTAGTTGCTTGTGGAAAATTCAGTCAATTTGCGGTGTCCATATGGCAACAAAATTCGCTGTGTTCTACAGTGTTTTGGATAGGTCTTATTGCTGAAGCAGTTTTGTTTTCATTGGCACCTAAAATTTATATTTAAAGAGTGATTTTGCCTTAAACAGAGTAAACCAAACCATTAAAGGAAATTGTTTTGCACAATTTTAGTGCATCGTTACAGTCATCCCTTTGGCAGCTGAATTGCAGGTAAATACTGAAACCGAAACTGTCACAAATTCAAACAAATCTTGCGACACAAATCCATGTACAATTAGGCCATTGTTTGCTTTTTTGCTCAATTAACACAATTCCCTAAATGCAAGCTAGCGAATTGCTTCAACAGGAAAAATGGAAGGGATGTTTCACTGTTAAACAATAAAATGACATTAAAATCAACATACGAAACGTTTTGTCTGAACTCAACATGTTAGGTGAGTTTAAACTTTTGAGTCCTTAATCAAAGATAGCCTTGGTTCACATACTGTGTTGTCTTTGCTTTCGAATAGTTTATTAATTATCGTTATATTAAGCTCGTGAATCACGGATTAAAGCAGATTATTCTTTACTCTTTGGACACAATTAGGATTTTAAGTAAATAAAACAACTTTGTTATAAGTATTATTATTGTTATTGTTATTATTATTAAGCCAAAATAGCGTACAAACAAATAAATAAAATTAATTTTTATTGTACGAAAAACAATTGTTTTGATTAAAATTGTTTTAAACCTAAATTTCACATGTTTTAGTCGTACATGATCGCCTTAGTTAGGTGGACCCTCCAAAGTACAAACCAAACGTCACTACGAACAGGACGTCAATATGTGTGCTCTATTTAAAAGTGCATTCGT